GATTTGTTTACATTCATTTTTTTATGTGAAGATATTAAAAATCGTAAATTTATTTTTCCTGTAACAATTTTTGTTATAAATGATGTTTTGCACATCCAATCAAATTCCTTTTATGTTAAGCAAATTTATGTCTAATTCTTCAGACATAACTCTCTTACGAGAGTTATTTCTGAAGAATTAGACATAAATTTGCAGTACTTACTTGATTTTGGAGATATGGCATTTAAAATGAGTGGTGAACAAGGTCATAGAATGAAATCTTTAACTAAAGATACAGGTACTTCAATTTGGCATACATGTTATGGAGTCGTCGAGATGTGTAAATATTTGCTAAAAAACAATTTTGATTATGTTATGTTAGGAGATTTTTCAACAGATTACATTGAAAAACCATTCAGTAAGTTTAGGCAAGGTTCAGGTGGAACATAGTTTATAACAGTTCAAAATGTTGTTGAAAAGTTAAACATTGAAAAAGCTATACTGTTATTGCAATTAAAAGTTGATGTTACAGATTATGCTATTGATATCGAGCATTCTTGTCAAAAATATGGCTATTTTATAAGTGAAGAATCTTGTGACATCATTAATCAATTACCTGAACTAGAATCATCTTTGTCATTGAGTACAAAAATGGCTTTGTTTTATATTGCAGGTTATGCTACAAGAAAAGATGATGTTAGTGAAAATGATCGGTTTAATGATACTGCACTTTATTTTCAGTTATATGGAGACTATTCAAAAACTAAAGATCGTGGTGGATTGAGTATATCTCTCGATTGCTGTGTGCAGTGGGTATTTTTTTGTTTCATTATTTTTGAAATTGAGAAAAACAAAATGTGCATAAAGTCATTGTGTAATACTTTTATGATGATATCTGATATTTATAACTTTAATATGTTAAAGAAACATGGTATAATATAATCAAACATATTTCTTAAAAATTATTGTTTGCTTTTTTTCACCCAAGTCCAGTAAGGAACCTGCATTGAAGGTTTTAAAGTTATCTGTATAACATTAAAAAATTATTATGTACATTTTTTTATAACATTATTGATGTATATTTTGATATTTTTTTCTTTTTACTTGATGTACATTATGATGTTTTTTTCCTTTTTTTTCTTGCATTATTTTAAAGTTTGTTCATTTTTTTGTAATTTAGATTTTAAATAATTACAACTCATTATTCTGAAAAATATTGTATTTTATTCTTTTTTTCAAAATGTTTTTTTTTAAATTTGTCGATTCTAAATAAACATTCCAATGGACATATTTTGCATTAATACATTACTTTTAAAATTTAGTAAACTAACTAAAAATAATGGATTAGTTCGCAAACTTTTCTAGCCATTTTTTATATTTTCCGTAACTTTGTCCGCCCCCAGTCAAAAATACGGATTCGCGACGGGAAGGCCTGTAATAAGTATCGCCACGAATAAAGTCCATTTAGTTTTTTCTATGTTAATTGATAAATTATTTGATTTAAACCATTTTGAAATTTATATTAGCTCCATGTAAATGTCTTTAAATAGTGTAATGATATTATTGCTAGACAAAAAAGTTTTTTTTTTTTTTTTGTAACAAGTTTATTTTACAACTACAAAGTATTTACAATTAACCAATCACCGATTGGCAAATAAAGATATAAAAATATAAATATCGTAAACATAAAGTCCAAAATAAATAAGGGATAAATCTAAAATATTGTTACATTCAACTTTGAGATATGATACAAATAAATACAAAGTACACAATAGAATAACGTGAACGTAAAAATTACCCAAGAAATAAACCTATATTCTTTCAATTAAAATAAATAAATATATATATATATATATATATATATATATATATATATATATATATATATATATATATATATATATATATATATATATATAT